CTAGCAAAGTGGGTGTAGAGAGAGAAAGGAAGGGACCTCGTCAGGCCAACCCTAGTCTCCACACCGGAAATTGCTGACTTACAAAGCAGGGAGCCTAGCTTAGCAAAAGCAGAGCCTGGCCGTTCTGGGAGACTCTTATGGAATCGCCCTAAAGACAGGTAAATATGGTGACTTGGGGGTGGGGGTGCAGGCTGGCCCCTCAGCCCTGTGAGAAACGGAGAAGCTTCCAGCACCAACAGCAGAAGGCCTCTGACCCCTCTGACCTGGAGCCACAGCTCTCCTGGCTCCCTCTCCTCAGCCCGTGATGCTATGGTCAGGCCCAGGTGAGGTTCCCCGGGAGAAAGCAGCTCCGAGCGTCCCTGGCAGCCCTTGTGGCCCCTAGAGCAACCCATGCTGTCCGGGGCTGAGGTGTGGTGACCACGGCCCCAGGTGACTGGGCCAGCTCACGTGCCACCTGTCGTGTTGATCCCACAAAGGCCTGGAGCCGGGCAATGAGGGCAGGTGCTCACGGTGATAACGCTGTCAGGGCCCGGGAGGCTGTAGGGGCGGGTACACATCGCAGGGTATCAACCCAAGTGAGGGTATCAACCGAGTCACTGAACCAGATGCACCACAGATGCCAGTCTCAGCCCTGGCATACACCCAGGATTGGCTGGAAAGAGGCAGACAGGGAGTCTAGCAGGGAGTTCCCCTCCAGAGCGAAAGACTTTGAGGAAAATCATGCCAGGAAAAGAGCTTATCTGGGTCCTGTTAGGAAGACCTGGGCTCCAGACCAGCCTCCACCGCTGAGTAGCTGCGTGGCCCCCTGTCAGTCAGAACGTGTGAGAACCGGAAGAGGTCTTCTAATTCAACCTTCCATGCCGGGCGGAAGTTCTTCCCACAAACCCTGGCACGTGACCATCCAATGTCTCTCCGGACATTTCCAGGGACAGGAACCTCGTACCCACAAGGCGGTCATTCCTATTCGGCAGTTCTGTCAGAAAGGTCTTTTACCAAAGGCCTAGAAGGACCCAACGCTAGATGTTAATAGTGTGGCCTCCAGGGAGGAGCGTAGGACTGAGGGAGGATGACAGGGCCTTCCTTCCCTGTTGATTTGGTATGGGATGCTTTCAACACCATGTGGGGAATTTGTAATAGCAGGAAAACAAAAAGCCAGGTTCTTCTTTATTTGACCCCGATCTGTCCTCCTAACATTTCCACCTACTGGTCCCAGGTCTGCTCTCCGGGATCAGAAGATAAGCTAAACCCACTTCCCCTCAGATGCCTTCAAATACTGAAGATGGGGGTCCCTTTTCTTCTGCAGGCTGAGCTGCTCCTGCTATAACTTGGTCTCCAGACCCGTCCCCATCCCAGTCACTCCCTTCAGACAATAAAACTCAGTGGGTTGCAGAGGAAAGAATCAAGAATTCCATGAGTTGGGGGTTATGCTAATTAACAACGGCCCCTTTTCTGTGGGGGGTGGGGTCAGGCACTACCAGGGCACCCACTTCCTCAATTCCAATTGAGGTGAATGAAATGAAAACCATTAAAAGCACAAATCCCTGCCCTCGGGCTGATGACTTAGAAGCCCCATTCCATTTACAAGGCAGGAAAGCATTGGACTCTTGGAGTCAGACTAGTTGGGTTCAAATCCCAGCTTGGCCCCTTTTTGGCTGGGTGACCCAACATGGCTGTCCTGCAGTTTTCTCTGTGAAACAAGAATAATGATGACACCGGTCTCGAAATGAGTTTTTAAGAGCATTAGATGTATCGCCCAGCACTCAATAAATGTTAGTTGTTTGGCATTATGACCCCCCACTCTCTCTGCCTGCTTCACAAGAAGATGAGGGCTTTACCGAAATGACGCTAATTCATAGTACTTATTTGAAAGGTGAGGCCAGAAACCAAACTGGGGTGGGTTACTGGGGGGAAGTTGCTCCACCACGCTCCTCCTCCCCCCCAATATTTGTAAGCAATGATTATGTGCCCAGGGTTTTACAGGCACTGCTCACTGGGTTCTCCCAACAGCTCCATGAGGTAGGTGCCATCAATACTTCCATTCAACGGGTGAGGAAATAAAGATTCACACGGGTTAAGTAGGTTAAGTGACTTGCCCCAGGTCCCACAACTAGGAAGTCATGGAGCCAGGACTCCAAGCTGAGTGTGAGTGTGTCTGACTCCCAAAGTTGGTCTTGGACACCAGTGTCCTGTTCTTTGAACCAGCCCCCTCGTTTGGGCTCAGCCCCTGCTTTTTTGAGGAAGCCACGGCCTTCCTTTCCTGACAGCCCTGCCCGCTGTTCCTGTGAGGTAAAGCGGACGGGTAGTCTGTTCTCGCTGAACTCTACGCCCCTCTCCCCTCCAGAAGTCTGCACCAGCGTGTCACCGGGGACCCTGCATCTCCTTGGGTCCCCTGAGGGCCACCCTGGCCTCTGGTACCCCGGGGCTGTTTGCTGGTTCTTGGCCCCTGACTGTGAAATGGTTCCACACTCATCTATGAAAAACAAAACAAAACAAAAACCCCCAGCCATCTTGGACGTGGGCCCCGATGCGTAATATCGTTATGGAGCCAGAAGTACATCCCATCCCATTATGGCCTGGCCAAGCTTCTCTGAGGCCAGCCTGGCTGCAAATGGCTTTCTCCAGCCTGGAAAGGGGGGGCAGGGGCGCAGGCCCTGCTTGCCCTCTGCGGCCGGGCGAGATCTTATCTTAATTGACAAGTGGCAGCCTGCCATTGCTTTGCCTTGGCCGGCTCAGGCTCCAAGCCCGATTTTCTCTTGTGCCTCAAGAGCAGGCTTCCCCTCACTTCTTCCGTCCCCTCTGCCTTCCTCACCCCCTGCCCCCTGTTATGCGCTTGTCCTTTCTTGGCGTGACTGAACACAGCGAACTCAGAAGTCTGTGGGGAAAAGCCTGAGAGCTCCGGAAAGGGGTGAGGAGGGAACGAACACTTGCTGTGGGCATCTTCTCTACGTCATAGGCACACCGAGGGCACTGGGCCCGGTCCTTACACGCGCGGTCTTTGAAACCCAAACTGGGCTGTTGTGATCCCCTTTCTACAGAATGGAAAACTGAGGTTGGCTGAGCTGTTCCCAAGTCACCCAGCTAGTAAGTGGCTTTGAACTGAGGCCCTACGACTCTAGACTTTGAACCGAGGCCCTACGACTCTAGTTTATGCCTAGAGTAAGAGGGTGAGGCGAACAAACATGTGCCCAGAGCTGGCTGCATGATTTACGGAGCCCGGTGCAAAAATGAACACGCAGGGCCCCTTCTTCCATCATTTCAAGACGGTGGCAGCTGAGCAGGAAGGTGTGGGGCCATTTGGAACGAGCGCACAAGGCAGCACAGCTGGGAGCCAGCCCTACGTGTGCCTCCATGTGACTGAGCGGGGAAACAACAGTGAGGGGCACGTGTCCCCATCGCTTACCCAGGATTCATCTATTCCCCATCGCTAAGTGGTCCCGGATGTGCCACCTGTCCCTTGCCGGCCTCAGTTCGTCAGCCATCCAGTCATCACAATGACTCTGGCATCCCCAGGGCCTTGGCCCACATAGCACTGGTGCAATTCCAGGGAAGGGGGGGGGGG